ACCTTCTAGTTATAATATATTAACCACAGTTACAAATTTCCTTCACTTTTAGTTAATAAAATATTATAATAACTTTTTAATAAAATACACTATATTATATCAAAACATACCGAATAATTAAATAAATATTAAATAGATCTAATTAATAAAAAATATAAATACTAATATTATTAATAAAATACTTATATTGTATTTTATGAAAAAGAGGATATTACAAACTAAGGATGAGAATATGTTATATCTTAAATAGAGACCCATCATCTAACATATTTAAAGTCTACCACCCTGTCCTAGCCTATTTAACAAAAGGTCATATTTAGACCTTTAAAAATGTTTATTTATTTAAAAAGGTTAAACTTAACAAAAAAAAATAAAAATTAAGTCTTATAGGTTAACCTATTTTCTTTTATACTATATATAAAGGAATACCACTTTTTGATTTTCACTTTTCTTAAGATTTATTAGTCCTTTAATTTTAAACTAGACGTAAATATGTTTTAAATTCCTGCAAATATCTCTTTGTCATATTTTAGTCCCTGTAAAGTTTTTTTGTCATTTTTATATCCTTGATAATTTTTTAGTGTCGCAACTCGAAAATTTCCGATCTCATTAATTAAGGAATGTCCGGACACCAGACTAATCCTTAATTAATGGTTTTGAAAATAGGTTCATGGAGTCGCCACCAATATTTTACTCAAAACATTGGAAAAAGAAAAGGTTTTTTAAGATCCAATAATGGCCTTGATAACTAAAATTGGGTTCGGGGGTCAGTTACGTGTAAGGAAGGTATTAAGCACCCCTACAGCGCCCTCAATCGGTACCCTATGATGAAGTTAACGTGATAAGAATTAATAAATTAAATATTAAATCCCCTTTATTAATATTTATTTACATATTGAAAAATTAAATTATACGACTAACCCTAAAATATCTACATGATTGCGTTTGTGATGACAAAAAAATAAGAAGTAAAAGAAAGAGAAGAAGATTAAATGAAATAACTCGTAGCAAGCTTTGTTAGATCTTCAAATATGAAAAATATAGGTGCTTTGTGACAACCTTTCACACTACAATGCCTCACAAAATCTCAAGAAATACAAGAGAGAAAAAGAGAGAAATTTCGAGCTCTAAGGAGCTTTGGACGAAATTTTTGGGGTCCCCTAGAAATGTGCCGAAACTCTCTATTTATAGGCTTTAGACAAGGTCCAGAACGGCCCGTTCCGGATTCGGAACGGCCCGTTCTGGATCCAAACGTTAAATGTTAACTTTGTACCCTAGAACAGTCCGTTCTGAAATCAGAACGGTCCGTTCTGGGGAACACATTTTAGGCCATTTGATGGGTTTGGAACGGCCCGTTCTGGATCCAAACGTTAAATGTTAACTTTGTACCCTAGAACAGTCCGTTCTGAAATCAGAACGGTCCGTTCTGGGGAACACATTTTAGGCCATTTGATGGGTTTGGAACGGCCCGTTCTGATTTTGGAATAGCCCGTTCCGGGCCACTAAAAAAAATTGATTCAGGCCCTCTGATGTCCTATTTTGCTAATTGTATGCCCCTCGGACGAAATTAGGTGTCTACATTTAGTATTCATTTTTAGTCATTATCACTAACTCTAATTATAGTTTAGTACTCAAATGAATAACAAAATATAAAATATTAATCTATACTATATAAAGGGTTTAGTGCTAAAATAAGTAACAAAATATAAAATTTCAATCTATATATATAAAGAGATATTATCTTTTGGTTTTCACTTTTCTTAAGACTCATTTATCCTTTATTCATTTAAACAAGACTTAAATATGTTTTAAGGTCCTTGCAAATATAACTCTATCTTGTTTTAGTCCCTCTAAAAGTTTTTGTTATTTTTAGATCCTTTGACATTTTTGTGTTCATTTTTAAGTCTTTATTATTAACTTTAGTTAGTTTAGTGCTAAAATAAGTAATAAAATATAAAATATTAATGAAGAAAATTAAGGTAACAAAGAATATTTAAATTATTTTTACATGCAATTTATTTAAGTTATATATATATATATTTTGTAAATAAGATAAAGTTTAATTATGTTTTCAGTCTCTCTAAATTTAGTGAATTTTGATTTTGGTCCATGTAATATTTTCTTTATTTTTCATCCTTCTAGAATTTGTAGGTTAAATACCTATTTTCGTCCCTTATAATATATTTTTTTTCAATTTAGTCCCACTTTAATTTTTGGTTTTAATTTGGTCCCCCAATAATTAAAATCATTGCAATTTGGGACTTCCGTCCAAATGATTTAAACGGGGTTAACTGTTGGCCACGTGGATGCCACGTGGATGCCACGTAGATGCCACGTAGACACCAAATTGCATGAATACACCTAGAACCAGAACGGCCCGTTCTGGATGCACTCTTGGGGTGTTAATTTTGTAACCGGAACGGGCCGTTCCAAATGCAAATTTCACACACCATCAGTGCATCAGAACGGGCCGTTCTGGTTTTAGAATGCCCCGTTCCAAAAATCAACTCCATGCATCCGTTGACCAAAATGTCGCAACGTGATTCAAAAATTGAAAATAAAAATTCATAACATATCATAAATTCAAAGACAGAAACATTGTTCAGAAACTGAAAACAAAAATTTAGAACATAACATATACTAAAAAAGTTCAAAAAATTACTGAAAAAGGAAATCATCTAGGTAACGCTGAAGGGAAACCCTAAACCACAACAAATCAAGTTGTACCTCCTCAAGAACATGTTGTTATTGTTGGAATACATCGTCAATGACTTCAAGGAAAAACACCATTTTTTTTCATCCTTGACTGTATAGTGTCAATTTGGTAGTAAGTAGTTCACTCCAGTTTGACTAACAATGAAATAAAATCTGCTACCATTGTCTTTAGTGATACACTGCATTGTCCTTAATGATACATTGTATAGCCCAACTATTTAGCAATTGAAGTTATCAATTTTCATTTACAATATTATCAAATTCAGTGTATGAAATCCTTTGTACCTTGGGTCTTTTTTCTTTCACGATTCACAACCGTAAACTATAATCAGTGACCATTTGAGTTTGGTATTCTGGAACCAGAACGGCCCGTTTTGAGACCAGAACGACTCGTTCTGGTTGCACTCTTAGTATGTTAATTTTGCACCTGGAACGGGCCGTTCCGGATGCAAAATTAACACACCAAGAGTGCAACCAAAACGGCCCGTTCTGGTTTCAGAACGGGTCGTTATGGTCCCAGGTTTTTTCAGAAATTTTGGCGTCCACGTTCCCATCTATGTGGCATCCACGTGGATGCCACGTGACCAACAGTTAACTCCGTTTAAATCATTTGGACGGAAGTCCCAAATTGCAATAATTTAAGTTATTGGGGACCAAATTGAGACCAAAAATTAAAGTGGGACTAAATTGAAAAAAAAATATTATAAGGGACGAAAAGAGGTATTTAACCAAATTTGTGCACATTAGTTTTTCGATCCATGCAAATATTTATTGTCATTGTAAAATGAGTAATTTTTTTTTTATTTTAGTCCTTATAATTTTTTCTTCAATTTTCATCTCTTTAAAATGTAAAAATTACTATTTTTTGGTCCTTAACTTTGTTTATATAGTAGATACATATCATTTATGTTAAGAACTTATAAAAAAATTTAAAGGTGTCACATACTAACATGGTATTACTATAGTCATGGGTAAAATCTGATATGATCACTTAACATTTGATAAACAATTAAGTATTTAAAAATTGATTATATAATAACATAGACTAAAAAAAATAGTTCTAAATTTTATAGGGATTAAAAGTAAAGAATTTTTTTGCAGGAACCAAAATTAAAACTTGCTCATTTTACAAGGATTAAAAACATATTTAAGTGTATATTTTTTCTTTAAATTATAGGACAGAAAAAATAATTTTAAAATTACTGGACAAAAATAAATTTATTTCATATTTAAGAAATTAAAAAAGTATTTAATTCTATATTTTTATGTACATAATTAAACATTGCTATAAAGAAATATTTGAAAGAATAACGATATAAAATAAGAGGTTCAAATATTTTTTCAATCCTTATAGTTTCACTTATTTTATTTTTTAGTCCATGATTTTTTAATCCTATACTTATTTTTTTAATCCTTTTTAGTTCCCATAATTTAAAATATATATTTTTTTGTCTTTATATTTGTAATTTTTTTATTCTTTTAATATTTATCGTTAATATTTATTAACATTGTCTATTTTATTTTGGCGTGATGAAAGATTTTAATTTTGTGAGTAAAATAACATTTCAAAAATAAATGTCACAAATAAGAGTATAAAAAAGACACAAAACCTTAAGAGACTTAATATAAAGTAATTACAATTAAATAAGTTTAAACATATAAAATTAAATTAATACATTGTTATGTCAACACATAATAAATAATGTTACAAAAATATCCGTCTATAGCCTGGTGCAATAGTTTGCTAATTGCAATACCACTGTTGAGTCCCAGGTTCGAGACATGGCATGTCCTCGTTCAAATCAAAAACAATGTTACGAAGATAAATTAACAATAAAATTAAAAAAAAAATTATCTTAAACTGAACTAAAAATAGTTGTTATATATATATAAATTAAAAAAATCTATTTTAAAATTATAAAGACTAAAAATATAAAATAAATAAAATTATTCTAGAAAAATATTTTAACTTTACATAAAATTATGGAAAGGTTTGAATAAGGGTCAGGATTGAACCCATGCCCACTGCTTCACGATCAAGACTTATGTGTATGAGCATGACGATCAAAAATAATTATGGGCATGACGATGAAGACTAATTACCTAATTTTGTCTTTACTCCAATTCTAAATCTCGATTTCCCAAATAAAAAAGTATACCACGTGATTTCACTTTCGATGTGCTTCCCACGAAAGTTAATGTATGAAGAATTTCCTGTTCCGTGTGGAACCCACAAAGTTAATGTATTTTCAAATATATAAAGATTTGTTTTCTTCGCTCCATTCCACAATCCCATTTCATCCTTTCTCTTCTCACAACTCTCACCAGTATAGTTCATTGACCATGGCTTCTTCTTCTTCTTCTTCCAATCCCTCCGACAGCATCCAAAACTACAGATACGATGTATTCATGAGTTTCAGAGGTGAGGACACTCGTAACTCCTTTGTTGATCATCTCTACGCTCATTTCATCCGAAAAGGTCTTTTTGTCTTTAAGGACGACAAAAGGCTCCAGAAAGGAGAATCCATTTCAGAACAGCTTCGACAAGCGATTAAAGATTCACGGGTTTCAATCATCGTCTTCTCCAAAAAGTATGCTTCCTCATCGTGGTGTCTAGACGAAATGGCCGCTATAGCCGATTGCAAACAACAGTTGAAGCAAACAGTTTTCCCCGTTTTCTACGATGTGGATCCATCTGATGTAAGATATCAGTGTGGGGTATACGAAAATGACTTTGATTTACACAGACGGAAGAAGTTCGAACACGATCCAGACAAGATTCGTCGATGGGAGAGAGCTATGACGGATTTGGCCAATTCTGTTGGTTGGGATGTCAGGAACAAGTATGTAGTGTTACGTTTATTCTATTCTCTTTCTTCTCCTGAATTCTTAGCATATCACATGTTCGATTGACTTTTTCTTTTTTTGTCAAATTACTTTTTTTTTTCCTTTGGTAGATAAAGAAACATTCATTTTGAGTTTAATTTAAATATAACTAATAAAATTTCATCATATATATATATATAGACGAGAGATTCGCATGTTTCTCGAGTAAATTTGGAAAGAGTTACATAGACGAAAGATTCACATGTTCTAAGAGAAGATTTGAAAAGAGTTACTTCATTCAATAATTTATAATATATATACAGGGTAATATATTTCTATCTATTTTTTAGTTGGAATATGTTAATAATTTATATCAAAATTTTAGGACAAAAAAATTATTCATTTATTTTGATTTGGTTAATTTTTTTAAGGGATATTTTAATAATTTAATTTAATTTTAAAAGAAAATAAAATATTTTCTCTCTCTTATTATATTCAGTTTCTAAATCATTTCTTTCTCCTATTAAATTCGTTCTTTAACCCATTTCTCTTTTCTATTAAATATCTTTTCTAACTCATTTATCTCTTTCATGTTAAATTCCTTCTCTAACTCATTTATCTATCTTATTAAATTCATTCTTTAACTCATTTCTCTCTCATCTCTCATGTTGTCTTCCTTCTCTCTAAACAAATAAAAAACTAATTAATAAAAAAAAAAAAGAAATGAGTTGGAGAATGAAGTTAATAAGAGAGAGAAAATATTTTTTTAATTAAATTAAATTACTATAATATCCTTTATATAAATTAACCAAATAAAAAGTAATGAGTGATTTTCTTGTCCTAAAATTTTGGTACAGGTTATTAACATACTCCAACTAAAAAATAGGTGGGAGTATATTAGCGTTCCCCATATATATATATATATATATATATATATATATATATATGAGGAGGGATATAATATAATAACACTAGTGTAATTTTTATTAACTATTACATCGCTCAATAACTTTATATTAAAAATGAATTTTGTAAATTCAATCATTAGATTGAAAGTTCATATCACTTTATATCAAATTTTCTTAAAATTGAACAACAACTTAAAGGTAATAAAAGTGTTTATATTTTAATATATTTTGAAATGTATATATTACATTAATTTTATTTTATAAGAATGAAATATCAAATTATTTTTAATTAATATAAAACTTTATATAAATGATCTAAGAGTAAAGAAATTTCAATTAACGGTTGGATTTAATAAATTCATTTAATATAAAATTATTGAGTAGTGTAATAGTTAGTAAAAATTACATAGATGTTATTATATTCCTCCTATATATATATATATATAATTTTGGTTTTAATAGTGATGTATTATCTGAGTAAAAAATTTTGTAGCATCAACCAAACAGAATTTACTATTGCTAAGGTACTGATTGTGAAAGTTAACTAATTTATGTAAATGGTGATTTGTGATTGGATGACAACCTAATATATTATTTTACAGCGTTGATGCATCACCATTAAACTCTTTAATTTAATGATTTAACTGTTAAATTAAAAGTATTTTTATTGAATATATTAAGTTTATAATTTTTTGCAAAGTTTAAAAATTATATGATACTTTGTTACATAAATTTAAATTAACGTATAATATGTTTTTATAAATATATGTTAATTTGAATTGATGTAATGAAATATCAAATAATTTTTAAATTTTAAAAAAGTTGTGGACTTTATCTATTCATTTAGAAGTTTTAATATAATAATTGGATAGTTAAAGTTCAATATAAACCATAAATTATTGAGTAGGATAATTATATCATGTTCAATGTAGTACTTTTTCTATTTTTTATTTTTATTTTTTATACAGATTCAATGTAGTACTTTAGCAATGATACTCTCTCCAACCTACTTGACTAATTTTTTTGGATTTTAGCACAAGAAGATAATATAATCCAAAAGATTAGTTCATTATATGTAGGGAGTGGTAGACTACAATAATGACCTTCTTATGAGAATGATAATAATCAATTTCAATTCTAAGATAAAAAAGGAGATAAATTGCAAGATTTGCTTAAAATTACAATCTTTACTACTACTATAGTGGTTATATAAATCAGTCCAATTTGTTCAAAACTTAGGCCTGACGGAAAAAAAAACACATATTTTTAATGGGTCTATTAAATCTAGTCCGCGAAATAAATGAACCAATTTTTTTGGACCTGGGGGCAAGCGATCAAGTCTATGGGCTCAATGAAAATATGTTTCTTTTTAAAAAAAAACTAAAATTTATCAAATTTGAGGGTTTTTTTTTTCTTTTTCTTTCCTTTTGTCTAAGTTATCGAAACACGAGAAAAAAATTCACCAAAAATAATATAAAAAATATTTGTAACATCAAACATTGTACATAAAAAGAAAACTATTGTTGTAAGATTTTAATATTTATACATTTTTAAAAAATATCAAAATCATAATATCTTAAAAATTTAAAAGTTTAAATATATCAATCAAATATCAATAAAGTTTAATATAAATAAATTAGTTATGCATTTTTATTCACAAATTAGTCATGAGTTTTTATTAGCAATATAGTTTGAAGAGATTGAAAACATGTTATCTTGTTTTTTTTATTCTTTAATTGATAATTTGTGGTCAGATATATAAACTTGAATATAAATAAATTAGTCATGCATTTTTATTAGTAGTATAGTTTGAAGAGATTGAAAACGTGTTGACTTGCATTTTTTTTAGTTGATAATTTGTGATTTTATTTTTATATATTTTCTTTTCATCCAGGCCAGAGTCTGAAGAGATTGAAAGTATTGTTCAAGCAGTAATAAAAAAATTGGGTCATAAATTTTCATCATTTGCTAGTGACCTTATTGGAATACAATCACGTATACAAACATTAGAAAATATGTTGAGATTAAGTTTAAAGAATGATGATGTTTTAATTTTAGGAATTTGGGGGATGGGTGGAATAGGAAAGACAACTCAAGCTGCTGTCTTATATGATAAAATTTCTCATAAGTTTGATGCTTGTTGTTTCATTGAGAATGTGAGCAAAATTTATAGAGATGGTGGCCATACTGCTATACAAAAGCAAATTCTTCGTCAAACTTTACAAGAGAAAAATCTAGAAATGTATAGTCCTTTTGAAATATCAGGGATCGTAAGGAACAGGCTACACAACATAAAGGTCCTTATAGTTCTCGACGATGTTGATCAAATAGAGCAATTGCAGGAATTGGCCATAAATCCTAAATTTCTTTTTAAAGGAAGTAGAATTATTGTTACCACTAGAGATGGACATATTCTAAAATCGCATGAAAATCATGTATTGCACAAGGTTTCATTATTGAATGAAAATGAGGCTCGTGAACTATTTTTAAGAAAGGCCTTCAAAAATGAAGACCAAAGTAGTAGTTGTATGGAGTTGATTCCTGAGGTACTAAAATATGTCCAATGTCTTCCATTAGCAATTAAAGTAATGGGTTCTTTCTTGTGCACTCGAGATGCTATCCAATGGAGAGATGCCTTAGATAGATTGAAGACAAATCCAAATGATGAAATTATGAATGTACTTGAAATAAGTCTTGATGGACTAGAATATGAAGAAAAAGAAATATTTTTGCACATTGCATGTTTCTTTAAAGGGGAGAGGGAGGATTATGTTAAGCGAATTCTAGAATGTTGTGGATTGCACCCTCATATTGGAATTCCAAGAATCATTGAGAAATCCTTGATAACTATTAGAGATCAAGAAATTCATATGCATGATATGTTTCAAGAATTAGGAAAGAAAATTGTTCGCAACCGATTTCCTGAAGAGCCAGGATCATGGAGTAGAATATGGCGCTATGAAGATTTCGATCAAGTCTTGATGGTAGAAACGGTAACAAAATCTTTTAATAGCTTTAGATTTGTTAGTGTTGAGTAATGTTCTTCTTAATATCTTACAACATATTTATATGTAAAAGTGAGGAAAACAAGTTTCATTTACCCTAAAAATTATTTTCTAAAAATACTTTTTTTTTTAATTTATATAATCATTTTGATTATCTTGTTCTTGTTATTTTTTACCAATTTTATCCAAAAAGATATACCAAATATTATGTTATCTATACATATCATGTTATATCAATGGGGTTGATACAAGTGGGATTCTCATTGTTTTATCACTTTGAGAATAAAAAATAAGTAAATTATGTTATCTTAAAACACTACTTTTCAAGTGATAAAGGTTTTTTAGTTTAAAATTGTAAAATAATTACCAAAATTAATATAAAAATGTGTTAAAGATCTTATTATTTTTAAGAAAAACAGGTGTCGTTAATTCAAGTATTTATTTTTGTAATATGTTTATTCTTTGTTTTCCAGGGAACAAATAATGTCAAAGCCATAGTTCTTGATAAAAAAGAAGATATCTTGGAATGTAGAGTTGATGTATTGTCAAGAATGAAGGATCTTAGATTACTCATATTATATCATCAAAAATTTTCGGGAAGCCTCGATTCTCTTTCCCACATGCTGCGATATCTTTTGTGGCATAGTTATCCTTTTGATTCTTTGCCATCAAATTTTACGGCTGCTCATATTGTGGAATTGAATATGCCAAATAGTAGCATCAAACGTGTTTGGGAAGGCCGCAAGGTACGTTAATGCTTCTTCCTCTTCATCTTTATTGGTTTGCAAAAATAATGAAGAGAAAAATTGTCTCATTAAGTTTTCAAAAATGGCTATGCATTTGGATCATTTTTCTTTTTATTTCAACATTGACATCTACTACAACAAAATTTATTATTAACGACAATTATTTAATGACAATAATTTAATCGCCGTTGTATATAAAAATATTAATGGCTAATATATAATAGCCATTAAAAATATATTTATATTACGTTAAAGTTTATTATTAGCGACAATTATTTATTAGAAAAAACTTAAGTCCCACATCAATTAGAGATAAGATAATTAAATAGTATATAAGTGAGTAATAACTATCATCTTATAGGTTCATTTTATAGGGTTGACTCCTAATTCACTATTCTAAATTGGTATCAAATCACCCATTATTACCAAATTTAATAGTGTTATAAAACAATTAGAGAGCAACTTTCACCTTATAAATCTCACATTTCTTAAGAGACAAGACAATTAAAAAATATATAAATAAAAAAAACTCTCATCTTACAAATCTCACATCGAGTAGAGATAAAAAAAGTATATAAGTTATGAATTTAGAAAAGGAAATTATAGGAATAAATTATTTAAAGTAAAGGAGACAATTGAAAAGAATAACTTTTAATAGCCTTTAAAATGGCTACTAGAATTGCTACAAAAAAAATAAGTTTTTCTGAAAATTTAGTAGATATTTACCAGCATTTTATATAAATTTCGGTAATAGTATTAGCGACACTGGATACACCAGCCTTTATTTAAATGCTGGTAAAAATAATAATGACCATTTATATGGCCGTTAAATAATAAATTAATTACCACAAAAAATTAATTTTAGTGTAGTATCATAATTTTAAATTTTTAAAAATTGAATATAATTTACTTATAGTATCTTTTTCCGTAAATCAAAATCAATTGTAGAGGTATAAGCAAATTGAGTTAGGTCAAGTTTGAAAGAGCCTATTATCCGATCTGATCAAAATACATTGAGTCGGGTTGGGTTGAGTTTGTGCAATTTTATTTTGAAATTCAACCCAATCCAACCCAATCACAAATGGATTGGATTGGATTGACTTAATGGAGTCTATATAATTAAATTTATTTATTTTTATAAAAATTGAAATATTTTAAAATAGATGTAAATCATTTGATACTTTTGTTGCAAATACAATGTTATTAGCACATAAACAAACAACGAAACAAACTAAATTCTAAAATAAATTTATCGATTTACTATATTATTATCAACTTAAACAATCAATATTAATTAATATAAAATAATTTTTAAAATATATATGTTGTATTATTACAATATTATCAACCTAAACACAAAACTCGTTTTGGAACAAGAGTGTCAATGAGTATTATCTTGAGCAAGTGTCATTCAAACATTATTATTATATGTCCAAGTCAAAGGTAGTGTCAATGAGTATTATCTTGAGCAAGTGTCATTCAAACATTATTATTATATGTCCAAGTCAAAGGTTGAGTCGTGAGTCAAAAACACAAAACTCAATATCCAACTTGTACAATGTTGGATTTTGATCGGTTGCGTTTTTTTTTTACTCAAACATAAAAAAAATTGATCTTAACTTATTGAATTGATTTATATCAGCTTGAATTTACGAATTACTCATACCCACTTATACCTCCTAATAAATTATTTTCTCTATTATATTTTTTTTTATGGAACTAATACATATTACACTTAAACACAATTTTTTATTCTAAAATTAATGCTATAATAATTTTGAAATTAAAAATTTGAGCAAACATTTACTTAAAATTTTAGTATTTAAAAGATTAATTTATGCACTGACATTTCTAAAAATTTTAAATTATTAACCAATTAGAAATCATGTTAATAGCACGACTTCTAAATTGTGTTTTAGAAGTCAGTATACTTTCTAATTATAGAATAAGACTATTTAAAAGTCATGAAATACTATTCTATAAAAGTCATATAGTGATTTTTTTTAATCTAATAATTTGATTGAATAAAGTGTAAAATCTCATTACGTATTTTTTTTTTAAAAGTTTTGAAATAAAGAATCTTTATAACGAGAAATGTGTTGATAATATTCTTTTTTTGTTTTTCTAGATAATTTTTTTTTTTGCCTTTAACTTTTCGTAAATGATAGGACTTCGAGATATTAAAACAAAATTAAACATTATTTTGATAAAATTTTAGTATAATATTTTTTTTACCATCATTTAATTACTTACTTGTAGATTATTATAAAAAAGTTTGATTTTGAGTAGTCATTATAATCTTTCATCTTTATGGGAAGGAGGTCCATTGGGGTCCAAAAATAGTATAGTTCATAGAGACAACTAGACGAGAATGTCAATTGGGTCCAAAATCTTTTATGATGCTCAACTGTTGGAGGGAGGTGGAGGTTGTTCACGAGTTTGTGAAAGACTAATGGTGGAACATCGAAGTGGAAGGAAGAAGGGTGTATGAATTGAAGGAGAAATTTAAGTCAGTAAAGCTTAAGTTGAGGGTGTGGCATGGAAATGATCGTGACAATTGTTGGGATGCAAAAAAAGTCTTACATCGTTCAAACAACGGCTCAAAGCGGACACTATCTCACCAATGTGGAGATATGTGTATAAGTGTGATCAAAAGCAATTGGGGTTTGATGTTGCGAAACAGGAATTTTGAGACTTAAAAGGTAAGAGTTCAACTTACTTTGGAGGAAATTGAAGCCAAGAAGGGTTGTGGCGTTAACATATTTAGCTTGTCAAACATGTATTGTAGTTTACTATCGGAGAGGGATGAAGATGAGGGGTCACAAAAATACACGGTATTGGGTGAAGAGGGACATGATTTACAAGGAACAAGAGAAAGGTGGGTTGGGCATTAAAAAAATATTAAGGCTTTCAATCTTGCATTACTAGGTAAATGAAGGTGGACAAGAAGGGACTGTTGTAGTATTGGTGCATAAGTAGTATAAGGAGTTTAGAGGGGTTGTGGGAGGGAAGAGGAGAAAATGGTCAACATGGTGTGGAATGATATTATGTTAATTTGTTGAATGAATCAATAAAAAGGTGGCGGGGAATGGTTATGTTTTTTGTACTTGGTTTTAGGGATATATTTATTTAAGAGAAAAATTATATTTTATTATTTATTGGAGGAATTTTACAAACATTTTAAGGCAATAGGTTTTTACTTGATTAAATCAGCTTATGAAGCCCTCATGTAGCTAGAGGTGTACTCGGGTCATGCAGACACATTTGTCAAAAAGGTGTGATATAATGTGGTCTCATTGAAAGTGGTGTTATTCATTTAGAAATTTGTCCAAAATAAAATCTCAACCAGAGATAACCTTCTATAGTGTCCTCGAATGTGGGGACATAATGGAACCCATCCCTCATTTGCTTTTCGAATGCTCTCACTTTGGTATGGTTTAGTAGGTGTTCAAAAGTTGTTAGGAATTTTAGTTGCAATGCATAATGATAGATTGATATATAGTAGTTCACATTAATTTTATGCAATTTGGATGTTTGTTGTGGCATCATGATATAAGATAAGTGGAAAATCATTTGGCGTTCGTTAATGTGTACTATTTTTAGGGCTAGAAACAAGCTTATGTGGAATCCAAAAGAATGGTTACTGCGGACATTGTGGAGTGTGTAAAAATAGTAGCATGGAATTGGTTTAAATCAAATATCTAAGGGGCCGGGTTCAATTATCCAGTTTCTTGCTAGGTTTCTGAACCTACAATATGCTTAGAATCAATGCCATCAAGGGGGAAAACATAGTTTGTTTACAAGTAGGAAGTTGAAGAAAAGGAAGGAGGTAGTTATGGGGCTATATGGAAGAATAGGTTCTGATTCTTGAAGTTGCTTAAGTGGTGGAATAAGGCTTCCTTAAGGAATAGTGCCAAGGGCCAATACAAGTCTTGATTGTAAGTTGCTTCTAATTAAATTTTCTATCAAATGGCATGTATGGTTTGGGGTGAGGGGGTTTTATACGCTTCTTTTGTACACTTTCTAGAGTTCTTGGTAATGCATATATATATGAATAGTGATTAGGTGTTGATTTTGGAACGAGAATGAGAGTAACAATAGGGCTAAATTGGTGTCAATATGGTCTTATAATGTAACTTTGCAGATGTGATGTGAATGAAGTGAAGAAGAGAGTAATTATGGAGTATAGTATTTTGCTAATTGGTCTAACTATGGTCTTCCATAGTAATTCCAAGGTGATCCAAGTATGGTCTACGGTCCAAATGCATAGGAAGTTGAATCAACTCAATATGGATTGTGGTGTGGTAGCAGGCTCTTATGATAATGCATGGTCTGTTACCATGTCTAGTTTTGTACCGGGTGTAGGATCTAGGGGTCTAAGGCTTGCAGTTTTTGTTTTGGTGATGTTTTATTTTATTAGTTGATGTATTTTTAAGGGTGTGTTAGGGCTTTGTTTTCATCCGTTGTACTAACCTTGGGCTTCCTGAAAGGGGAGAAAAAACCATTTTCAATGCATATGCAAAATGGCCATTATAAATAGTTTACTCAGGGTGGAGTTCAACAAGTGTGAATTCATGGATAAGGATGTTACATACTTATCTGGATCTGATCGTGTTTTTGTACAATTGGTATTGGGATTAGGTTATCAATTTTATTGGCTAAATTACTAGATGGGCTATGAGTGAGAATTATGTTGCAAGGCCATGATGTAGCAAATTAAGGCATACCCAACCGCTCAACTGCTTTTTAATTTTCATTTTTTAAGATTTTTTTAACCTAAATTTTATATATAAATAATAAATATTCTTATTTCTACTTTTTTTTTTTACACTTTCTCTCACTTCCACACACCTTTTTTATTGAACAATTATTTCAATTACACGGTTCTACTCACAACTCATGTAATTACACTTTATTATACTATATTTTTCTCTCTCATTCCATCTCCTAATTTAATTCTTATTTTCTTTTATATAAGTAGAGAAAGAGTATAATATAATTATACCGAATACAGTAAATAGAAATATGAAATATCTTGACTTCACTAATATATATATATATATATATATATATATATATATATATAAATAACATATTCAATAAGAGTATATTTTATTTTGATTGATGCATGATGAGAGGATCAAATAGTAGCCATTAGATTAAAGATAAATTTAATTAAAGATTAATATTAAAATTTAATTATAAATACTCATTTATAAGGTTATTATTATTATTATTATCTTCACGACTACTATCACCACTACCTACCGCTATTGTCACCATCATTGCCACCGTTATCATTATTGTCAATGTCACTATTGTTGTCATTGTCACCCTACCATTATCGTAACTGCGACCGTGATGGTTGTGGGGTTGGTGTCACTACTATTATCTCTCAACATTGCTATCAACCCTATCATCATTGTCATTGTTACCATTATTATCATCATTGTTATCACAATAACAAAGACAATGACGGTAGTAATAACAACAATAATGAGTGATGATGGTAATAGTTATAAAAACAATAATAATTATTATCTTATAGAAAAATGTTTGTATTTAAATTTAAATCTTAACTATTAATTACTTTTATTTATATTACAGTGATTTTGATTCTCTTATCTTATAATAAAACATGACTGGACACACACAATCATGAGAAAATAATAATTAAAAAATACGAATAATATAAGACTTACCATGATTTACTTATTTTAGTTTGTCTTTAATTCTGAAATCATACTAAATTAAAGTGCAATAATGAAATTTGTTTTAAAAAGAGATGCTAATAAGTGGTTGTTGATTCTCCACAGAAATTCCCAAATTTGAAACGGATGGATTTGAGCAACTCCAAATATCTTGTTGAGACTACAGATTTTTTTGGGACCCCAGAACTTGAGCGACTTGATCTTTCGGGATGCATAAGTTTATTACAAGTCGATCCATCATTAGGAAGTCTTGGAAAACTTGCTTTCTTGAGTTTAAGAAATTGTACCAATCTAGTCAGCATCGACTTTGACAATGGATCTAATCTAAGTTCTCTGACAGTTCTACATTTATCTGGTTGCACTAAACTTGAATACACGCCAAATTTTACAAAGGCAGAAAATCTAAAGTACCTTGACTTCGATGGATGTGCAAGTTTAGCCATGGTTAATGAATCTATTGGAGCTCTTTCAGGACTCACCTTCTTGAGTTTGAGAAACTGCGAAAATCTTGTTAGTATACCTAACAACATTAATGCCATGAGATCACTTCAAACTCTAGATTTAGGTGGCTGTTTGAAACTTGATGACTTGCCCGTAGGACAAGTTTTTAACTCTTTTTCTTTGGAATCCTTGATATTTTTGGACCTAGGCTTTTGTAATCTACTTAAAGTACCTGATGCTATTAGTGTGTTGGGGTGTTTAGAAAGACTGAATCTACAGGGAAACAAATTTCAATCAGTATGTGCAATGACATCTCTACATTGTCTTGCATATTTAAACTTATCACATTGCCATGATCTTATCTGGTTGCCTGAGCTTCCATCAGGGAGGGAATCATCAGGGGGAAGGTATTTTAAAATGGTGTCTGGATCTCGTGATCATAGGTCAGGGTTATATCTTTTTGATTGTCCAAAACTGGCGGCTCGGAGGAGTTCCTTAATGCAGCATTTTCTTAGTTTTCGGCAACCCAAACTTTTTTGGCTTGCAAGACTAATTGAGGTTTGCACTCTACAACCTTCTCTTTCTGTCTTGGGATGAAATATTTTCCTAATCTAAAGTAATTCATTAATAATAGAATATTGTTAATGCAATTTGATTTTGTGATTTTCCTTGTGGTGATAGGAACCCTGTCATTTTCGATGTGGCTGTGACATTGTTTTCCCTTGGGGCGCCAATAAAGGTATTCCCAGGTGGTTCAAAAACGAATTTGCCAGTTGTTCAATTATGAGGATAAAGGACTTCAATATGAATGATGATTGGCTTGGCTTTGCCTTTTATGTTATATTTAAGGTAAACAATCCTCCTTCTCCGGATTGTTCTTTTTCTTCGTCAGTGCGGCATCCGTTTTATCTTTCTTTCGAAAGTGAACACACGGAAGAATACTTTGACATGCCTCTTGATTTGAAGATGGAAAAGATTGATAAATCAGAATATGTTTGGGTGATTTATATCTCTCGACAACACTGCCATTTTGTGAAAACTGGGGCACATATCACGTTTAAAGCCCACTCGGGTATTGAGATCAGTAAATGGGGGATGCGGAGTATATTCAGGGAAGATTTAGAAGGCTTGAAAAGGAAGGCAGAATCAGAAGGAGATTTTCATGACACATCCCAACACAGTGTTGCTGTTGATGATGTAACAAATAGCATCACCAACCCTGGGCCCAAAATTCAGCTTCCTTACAATTGGTTGGTGACAGAGCAAGATGAAGTCGAGAATATTGAAGCAAAGGCCAAAGAAAACAGTCTCTCCAATGTGGGGCTTTAATACGCATGCCAAGATAATATATGGAAGCTCACAGACATCTTTTCCAGAGATTGAAATCATTGGACCCAAGGTATTTTTATTAAAACTAATGCTATATTCATACACTACTAGTTTAGTGCATGCATTTAGAGCTTGTAGTGAACTAAATCACCTTAATAGTGTGTTTGGATGAGGAATTTAAATGAAGTAATTCATTTATTTGAAGAATTTCAAATTCTTTGAGGTGAAATACCTTGTTTGAATGGAGAATTTATAAAGAATTTGAAATTCAAGCATTTGTGAAATTCCTTAAAATAGTAAAATTTCAAATTCTCCTAAAAAAGTAAGAATTTGAAATTCTTCATATTTTTTTTCTTCATATATTTTTTCTTCTTATTTCACTTATATATTTTATCTTATCTCTTATCTCTTCATTTTTTTAATTATTAAATATTCAAAAATATTTTTAAGATTATTAAATATTATATAATATGAATTTTTTAAAATTATTAAATATTTAAAAATTTGCTAATATTTATTTTTATAAAATTTAATTTAAAAATTCTCAACATATAAATATATTTTTAAAATCAATTTTACCATGGTGGAATCAAATTATCATATCCAACCTAATAATTTAAAATTTGATAAATTTGAATTGACTTATCTAAACAAAATATTTTAAGAATGATAGAAATTGAAATCAAAGTAATTCAAATACCAAGAATTTAAAATTCCTTGAATTTGTAAAATTCTTCATCCAAACACACCATAAGATTAATTTGAAATTGACTAGTAAGTTGTTTTAAATGACTCAAACTTCAATAAAAAAAAGAGCTCAATTTTTATTTTTTTTAATTTATGAACCAGTTGGATATTTGTGTTTGTATACACGAATGCAATATAATCCTAATTTTAATTATTTATTTAAGTACCCTGACGTAAAGTATAAGGAAAAACTTTCTTAAACTAATAAAAACAATTTATTAACATTATTATGAGTTTATTTGGAATTTATCTTTTGAATCTTTTGGGTATAAAATTATCTGTTATATATATTATCATAATCAAATTTTTTTTAATATTTCTTTTTTACATGATAATAATATGGATTCATTTGATCTTCACTTAAATATTTTTTAATTTCTATAAAATGAAATTTTGATTTTGTTCTTTATATACAATTTTTTTCATTGTTTTTTCATCCTTTTAAATTTTGAAATCCCTATTTTTGGTGTTTATAAAATATGTCATTTTTATTTTAGTCTTTATTAAATATTGTTTTATTTCACCATTTTAAATTTTAAAATCATTTTTTTAAAATTTTTTTATTTTAAGGACCTAGAGACTTTTTTGAAGTGTCACATGTTAAAATAATACTATAGATTTGTGAATGCACTTGAGATAATCACTTAACATTCAATAAAACACATTAACAATTAATGAATATCACATTTTGAGGGATGAAAATCACTTGAATAGAGACAAAACAAATTCATATTTTGCAGGATGAAAATCATAGAATTATTTTAAAAACAATAAAAATAAAATGCACTTATTTTATAAAATTAAAAAAATATTTAAGTCTTTAATCTTTCTTCAAACCTTATTAATTTTAGACACTCCCTTGATTTTAAATCGTTTGTCATTTATAACATATGTATCTTAATAAAGTTATCAATTAATATACCATTAGTATGATAAAAATATATGAAATATATTTTTAGTTCAGAAACTTTTTTATCAATTTTTATTTTTAGTCCTTGAATATTTTATTTTACAAATTTTAATCCTTAAACTTTTGTCGATTTTTATTTTTAGTTTTTAAACTTTTTCTTCTATTAACATTTTGGTCCCTGACAATTTACTATTTCTAGAAAAAAAAAATCAAAGACTAAAGTCATATAAAATTAGTTTCGGGACTAAAAACAAAAATTGACAAAAAGTTAAGGATAAAAAAATATATTTAATCCTAAAAATATCATTCTGTTGAAATTCTCTTATAGTATGTTTGTCGACATTTTATGAGTTTATAAACTTTTTTAACTAACTTATAAGTTACTTTAACTAAAGTAAACTAGTTTGGTATGAAAATTTATACGAATTTATTTTAGGAACTTATAACTTAATTATTTTCATAAGTTAATTAAAGTAGCTTATAACTTATAAGTTCTTACCTTTTTACTTTCTCTATTTTTATTCTCATTAATTCATTTGAAATCTTTTTTAATTCAGAAATTATTTTGCCTATCATATAGGTTATTCTCTCACTCTCTTTATAAAAAATATTTTATGTCATTTTAGATCAATTAGTTAGCTTATAAAAATTAATTAAACATTTTTATGATATTCTTTTTTTATAGCCATAATACTGGTATGAATTATTAATCGATCTCGTCGAGGATTAATCTTCATTGAGGAATATTAATCTTCTTGACCACCTTTAATGATTTTTCTCCCCTTAACCATATTTTGTTTGTACACAAGATTTGAATTTAAGACCTTACTTAAGAGGATCGAGTTCAATATCACTTGAACAACCGACTTGTTGATATTTCTATGATATACTAATAAATAAAATAATTTTTTCAAAAAAATAATTAATGACTCTTAATTGTATAATATGGCATATTTTGATATGAACTGAAATCCTAAAGTGACATAAATGTTTTGGCCTAAGACCACAATTATCTTTCATGGAAGAAAATCTTATTTGTGATGTATCTACAACATAATGTCATTAACTCTTCAAACAAGAATTTGTTTTTCATACACAATGTTCAACTTTAAATCCATAACTAAGGATAATCAAATATATACCATCAGAATTAGAACAACTTTTCCAATGATAAATGATCGATATAATTATATATATGATATATTAGCGTAGCTAATATTTATTAGTTATTTTTTAAAACTTATTATTTTCCACTTAAGTAATAACTATTATAATAGTTGACATTATTATATATATATATATATATATATATATATATATATATATCTAAAATTTTAAATGCAATCCTAACATAAATTTTATCATTAAAATAATAAAAACATAATACAATTGAAGGAATAAGAGAGAATGATGTTAATATTAGTGAAAATAATGAAGACACAAAGGATATGATTTTTTATATAAAAAAAATAGAAAATAGATGTAATAGAACAAAACTTCTTTTTCAAAAGAAAATATTTAGTTATCCTTAATAAATTAATATTATTTATCGGTTAATAAAGAGAATGAAGGGATATGTTGAGATGAAACTCTTTATGAGAAGAGAAACTCACAATGAGACGAGTAACCTACTTCAAGGGGAAAAAACCTATTTAGTTATTCTTAATAAAGTAATATTATTTATTGAAGAATCGCTAATTTTCTATTTTTTATAAAAATATTATTAGGAAGTAATTTTTTTTCCAAAGTTAAATGGAGGACTTTTGACCTTTAAGTTTAAGCTAAGGTTGGCTCTAATGATGTTTATGTATAAACTTTTAGTTCTGCAAATAATCCAGACAAACAAACAAGCTAAACTGCATAATTCATGACATAACATAAGTTACACTTGACCTTGAATTGAATAAAATATGTTTATATATATTGAACTTAATAGCAATTAAAGTCAAATGAATTCTTATTAAGTTAAATTGAGTTTGGTGTGATTTAATTTTAGCTTTAAGGAATGCAACTTTGGTATATACAAAGTTTATTAATGAATTATATATATTCTTTGATTACTATAATATTTTGATTATTGTTGATATTCTAACTTTATTTATGTGTTATTGAAGTTTAGTCTTATCATTTATCTCACTTTCCTCCACATTTAATCAAGTAGTGAGTCATGCTAAAAACATAAATAGTCATATATAATTATGAAATGATATCCTTCCAAATAAAATAAAAGAGTTTATCTATAAATAAATAGATATTATTTATTTATTATTCTTATTTCTTCTATTAATTGAAAAAATAATTTAAAAATAAAATAGCAAGTACAAGAATGTGGTAACTATATTTTTAAGTAGTACCTCATGGATAAACTAACAAAGCACATTTTGAGTCCAAAAAGGTGTTTTACTTAATGTTGTTCAAATTTCACATTTTATAGGTGTGCGTTTGTATGGCTTTTTATTTTTCCATCTTAGATATAATCATATAATGGTACATGCAACATTACCCGTATCTCATTCTTTTCCTTTCCGAAGACTTAAAAGATTGTATGAATTGAAAATCATTTTTATTAATTATTATTTTGGATTAAGATTAAAGTCCAATTCACGTAATTGCCCACCTTCATTCAAAGTGCTGATTTATATGCTCCATTTGAAGTCTGCATCACTTAGACTAAAGATCTCCAAAATACACTTGTGGAGTTGTGAATAGTAAATTATATTTTTTTGTCTAGAGTATGTTAAACTCGCATACATACACACATATGCACACAAAAGTATTAGAAAAGTGATAAAACTGAATATACCTTATATTATTATTATGCCTTGTTATATGAATATATATAGCGAGTACTTACAGAACAAAGCTAAAATATACAGAGTAACTAACATGTTTTTCTATATGTAAACAAACAAACTAACCTACTTTGACTTTATCTCTAATAATAGGTCAATTGTTGATTTGTTATTCACAAGTAGCTTTATCTTGCATAGTTGTTCCATCTTTAATTCCTGCATTAATGAGCCTAACCATGCTGTCTAGCAAGCTACTTCAGAGGCTGCTATGTACTCAGCTTCACACAATGATAGAGCCACTACTGGTTCTTTTGTAGAGCTCCATGAAATTGGTGCTCCTCCACAAAAGAAAATGTATCCAGCAATGCTTTTCCTCTCACTTTTGTCTCCACACCAGTCTGAATCTAAATATCCAATTACTTCTAGTCTAGCATCAGGCTTTCCTTTTCGAAATAGAATCCCAAAACCAGTTGTGCCTTGCAGGTACCTTAGTATCTTTTTTCAGCAAGCAGATGTGACTGTTTTGGGTCTTGCATATACCTGTTGATCAATCCTACACTAAAGCTCAAGTCAGGTCTTGTATTGCACAAGTACCTCAAACTCCCAATGATCTTCCTATAG